GGGAACTAAACCACTCGTAGATTCCATACGCCACTTCATCCGGGACCCGAGTGGCGTATTTTCCGTATGTCACCTTTGTGAGTGTCGTATCGTTCAATGACGTCACGATTCCCGCCTTTTGCTTTTGTTGAATTGGTTTCTCCATATAATAAAAAGAACATTACACGTTGGCTCGAAGATATGAATTTTATGTTCTCGTGGCAAGAACAATATCTCACGAGTGAGCGAAGCGAACGAGTGAGATATTGTTCTTGCCACGAGAACATAAAATTCATATCTTGTCGCCACCGTGTAATATCCTCTATGTATTTAAAATTTTACTTTTGAGGCCATTCATAAACTCGCTTAATTCGACTTACATTTCTGAACTTGTATCTCTTAAAGACACACTGGGCGTAGGTACTGTCTTAGATCAGATGACGGCAAACTTCTTAACATTCCATCATGCAAGTCTCTTTCCACGCTTGGTGTCTCGATCTTTTTATATGGCTGCCCCTAAATTATGGAACGATCTTCCCCTTCTTATTAGAAATATATCTTTAGTTAGGGCTTTTTAAAAGGTCGTTAAAACTCACTTACTTATTTCAGAAAGCGTTTCCCAGCTAATTTATTGTTTTTATTCTTTTTATAAAGTAGAAGGATTTGTAAATAGGATTTCAAGAATAAGTGGTCATTGTTTTTGGAATTTTAGACTTATTACTGTTAACAAATTATTAGGTGCGATCTGTAAAATTCATAAGACTTTAAGGATTAATTAGTCACTGTTTTTAGAGATTTTTGAATTGGAGTATGTACTAGGATTTTAGGATTTTGTTGAGTCAATGTAATGCGCAGATGAAAATTTCTTTCCCTGGATTGATATTTGCGCAATACAAATCAATAAATATTATTGTTAATATTATAGGTGTTTGTGTGCAAGATGAAGTATTATGCAGATCGAGTATCCCCTCAAAAGGACTGTAACATGTCAAGGTGATGGGGAGAGATAACAGACCTCAGTGTGATTCGTAGCAAGTGGTTGTCAGGATCAGATGCTGTGAATTCTTTGGCTACCAGGGAATGCGCCTCAATCCTAGAAAGACGTTCATTTACTACCAGCTGGCCACCTGGGGTGTACCGATGCCATGAAACACGCCTGTATAGTGACAATTGAAGAAGGACAGCAGGTGTCTATGGCTATGCACTAAGGCTACCTTAAAAGAGGTCATGAGTCACAACTTCCTTCCTCGTAAGCTTATAATGGGCTCGTGTTCGGTTAGGTCATGAACCTGCACCACCCTTTAGTCCTATTTATCCCTATACAACTAGTTGAGATTACGCAGCAAACCTAGCTTTTCGCATCATTTTTACTTATTTCATTCATTTATTTTATTTACCAGCTTTTCTGGACACAGGCCTACCCAGAGGGAATGTGCACGAACGGGACTCATGTCCCATGCGAGGTGCCATCCCTACCCAATCCCACAACCCGTAAAGGTTGGCCACACCACCGGGGTCCACGACCCCTACTCTTTTCGAATAGTGATTTGGGTTCAGAGAAGGTGCTGTGAGACGGGAACTACGGTTTTTCCTCCTTATCCGTGAAGACTAGATAGCCTAGCCACTTGCAGATGTCATTACAAAAGCAGCACTTCCTTCTCAGTTATTTAAAGACCCTGAGTGTTGGTCCGGCCGGGGTTTGAACCCGCAACCTCACGCTCGGCAGACCGGCGCTCTCCCAACTGAGCTACCCAGGCGGCGATTGGCGGATTTTTGTTGAGCACAGCTCACTGTAATGCCCTACAACTATTTGGTATTAAATCTTTACGGTTAGGGTCAGGGTGGGATTACAGGTAGGGTTAGAGTTAGGGTTGGGGTTAGGTTTAGGGTTAGAGATAGGCAAAGGTCAGTGTTAGGGTACAATGGGATATGTAGAGCCTCTTTACTGCGTTACTGTGAAATCAGAAATTTTCAGTCTGACTCTCTGATCCATGGTCAACACTGGTTGCCTTGGAAGATTTATACTAATGAGATATTCGTAGTCATGATAAGTTTTAACTCTGTGATCTTAAGTATGTTCTGCAGTAGAAGCTTGATTCTATGTAAGATGATATCATTGTAATTTGGAATAATCTTTTAATGATGTTAATTTTACTTGATGTTCTTAATTGTTAGATTAGATCGGTGATTCAAGGCTGTCCACAGGGTTTCTAACTAGGTCCTTCGTTGTGGGATATTTTTCAGAACGTTATTTCCCACTTCGTGAAAATTATTTTATTAATGTTCGCGGAGGATCATCAAATCAATTCTCGCAGGATAAGATCTGCCTACTGACACATCCAATGTAGGGGAAAGTTTGGAAACTTAAACACTTAAAGGGGATATGTCGTCCCATCAATTGAATTCCAAAAATAATTGTCCAGTTATATGGTTCTTGGCTTTATCTATCAACCTTGCGTTGTACCAAACAATGTGCGTTGAATGTAAACAACCGGAAACTGAAAATCTGAAGCTCTCAATCTCCTTGGGGTTACGATTGAGTCATCGCTGAACTTTATCGATCACGCAAGTCAAATTTGTAAATTAAAATAAATCATATCAATTGATCGGTGCACTTCTGAAAAGTGACAACAGAAAAAAAAACACCAAAAAAAAAACAAAAACAAAAACAAAAAAAAGAAGCAAACTAAGATACTGCAATCACAGACAAAAATAGTTGGCAAGGTTGTACAACTTAACAGCAGTCCATTTTAATCCTCAAAAAAGAGAATTGTTTCTCTTGCTAAATATCCCCCGTGCCCCCTATTCAATGTTGGGATATAACAGAACAATTAGGCGCACAAACATTAACGTTTTGCTCAACACTGGGCCAGGGACAGGGGGAAGAAGGAAAAAAAAGAGGTAAAAAAAAAAACAACAACCTTCCCAACACTTTTGACGATGATCGTAGTAAATTGAAGGCAGCTGGTTTTCTATTGGGTTTGGTAGTAAAATTCTTTGAATTTACTTAAAGCGTATGGAGGGTAATCTGTTCAAGTTATTGCAGAATCAAGATAGACAGGGGCTAACAATACATACAGAAAGTGAATTGCAGTCTAAACCCTATCCATGAATACTTTTAACATTAACCCTTTCACTGCCAGAGTGCTTGATGGAGTTTTGTACGGTGACTCTAACTTTTGAGTCCGTGGAGGAAATCCTATGATGTGACCATTCAAATAAAAGTTCTCTGGCTATACTTTCACATGTACTATTTGTTTTTCAAAATTTGACAAAATGAAATTTGCAAATTTGGTCGAAATTTGCCCTTGGCTACATTTGGCAGTGAAAGGGTTAAGAGAGAGGATGAGTTACTTGTGATATCACTTAGGCAGGCAAAATTTAGCACACTCATATCCAATAGCGCGTACTTTATTTAGGACACAATTTACTATGTGGCCAATTTAATCAACGACAGACAAATTAACTACACAGAGAGCCCGAATGATTTACCTGTGCGTCTTTGTCTGTCTTTGGTCGTTACGGGATTTGCATTTAGGCCAAGACCATTTCTCTGTTCGATTTCAAAACACAATCGATTTAGGCGCTTAAGAACCTGGAGACGACTTAAATGTATCGAGTTTCAAGTGGTAATTGTAAATTCTGACCGTTAAAATTAAACTGAAAACTGTAAATGTAATTCTCGGTGAGAATTAATAGTTAAAAAAATACACAGTTCTTGTATTTCATTGAACTTTTAATCACTTTCGGAATAAGCGAAATTTGTTTTACACTCTCACTATCTTTTCTAATCGTTAACTGCTGCTCTTGCGATTATGCCAACCCTGATCATCTTAAACAATTTAACTGACTCTAAAGAAAACCGTCTCATCTCAATCTATTGATTTTCCTTCATAGTGCTGTCTACCCAGCTGTATAACTCCTGCACTTTGGCATACACCCCGTAAGCATTTGGCTGTGCACACCCAACTCCCCAGCTTACAACGCCGGTCAGGTACCAGCGCCCTTCGTACAAACAGCTCAGCGGTCCACCACTGTCTCCTTGGCATGCGTCAATTCCTCCTTTGGGGAAGCCTGCACAGATCATACGGTCTGTCAACTTCTCGTCATAAGCTTCCTTACATGTTTCTTGACTTACCAATGGTACTTTCGCCATTCGCAGCATTCCTGCAAGCTCTCCACCCTGCTGTGTTCTTCCGAATCCAGTGACGTAGCATTTAGATTTTTCGTCAAACTTCTGTTCGTTTGTAGGCATGCATACGGGACGAATATAAACGCTAAACTCTTCCAGTGGCGCCTCCAGTTTTACCAGTGCGATGTCATAATCAAAGGTAGTTGGACTATAATTTGGATGCACGATGATTTTCTTTGTCTTAACGGAAATTTCTTGTTCTTCTTTGTTAGCTTTATCAAATTCGCCTAATGCAACTACCAGCACTGTGTTTTTGTTATACTTCAGCATGTCATAAACACAGTGAGATGCAGTAACAACCCATTCCTTGTTTATCAGGGATCCCCCGCAGAAAATGGTGTCCTCGGCGTTGCGTTTGAAACCGGCCTGCCAAGGCCAGGCACCAGGCCATGCGACCTCACCTCCAACAATGCGGCTTGGTTTTCTGATGCCACAAGTCATTGTCGTCTCCTGTGCCCCACGAGATGGTTTGGTAGTAGCAGGGGGAGAAGGAGCAGGCGTAGGAGGAACAGGTGTTGGACCTAAAGGAAATTAAAAACTCTTCAAGTATTCGATTGCAAAACGGTCATCTTGTGTTGCTGACGCATTTGCGATCTATCAGCACAGATACGGCAAGTATAGAAACTTTGGGTTTTTGCCAATATATGCTTGTGTTTTATCAATGTATTTGTTCTGCCTCTTTCCGCACTTTTCACATTTTCATTATTATAATTAGGATGGTCACCAGGCTAGTTTAGCTTTATAGTTATTTTGGCGTTCAACTACTGAATGTACACCCATTTGCAATAACTTTGTCATAGGAAAAAAGCAAAAAGCAAAAAGCCAAATAGGAATTAATTAGCCATGTGATTTACATTTGCGTATTTTAATAATTTAACAATTATTTAAGAAATCATTCACAATAACAAGAGATAATTCTGTAATTCAGCACATGAAACACTGATGTGTGTAACGAAAGGGTTCAAAATTATTACTGGCAGTCGAATTGTCACTCATAGCCAGAGTTTCTGAAATACCCTTCGTAGTTTTCTGGTGAAATTTGTGCAAAAGCATGCAAGATAAACGCATGGGGCTGAAGACAGCAACGGAAGGCAATGTCATTTTCCCGAATGAAGTGTTTGGCCTGGTGATAACTTCCCTCTATTGAAAAAAATGGAGCCATTTTTTCTTTAGTAGTTATCCAATTTACGTTTGTAATTAGAGCACGTTTGAAATCCGCTAGATGAATCAGCCTCGAATTGCATTAGAATGACAGCAAGAAACTGATGCAAATGATTTCTCTCATTATTACGTGATTAATATTCACCTGTAAGCGTTTGTGCTGTGACTGTTGCAAGCAATGATAATTACATGCTAATTAATTCCTACTTGGTTTTTTGCTTTTTGCTTTTTTTCTATGACAACCTTATTGCAATCAGGTGTATCTTTTATTAATAATTATATTTCTTGTAAATTCTTTTAGTTGTCTGTTTACAGTAGAAATAAAGTTGTTGTTGTTGTGTCGATCTTCAGAAAATAAATTTTGCGCTAAAATAACTCTTTGGCGGGTGACTTTCCTCCCCCTTGCTGTTTCATTTTCAAAAGACGTTTTTACTGATAGGGCGGCCATATTAAATTAATTCAATTTAAGGAGTATTATTATTTAGTTTGTACTAAAACAGTGGATAGTGTTTTTCGGGCGCTCTAATTGGCTACTCAATCAGTGAATATCCTGCACTATTCCCTGATTCACCTCCAGTTCCTCCGAGCGAGCGACGCCAAACTCGCGTAGGTTGCGAGCAAAATGCTTTCCCGGTTTACTGCCGTAACAAACTAAGAAATTTCACAACTAATCAAGCAAGCTATTTCCGAAATACATGAAGAAGGTGACGAAGCTCGGTTTGGAAGTTTTAACAGGTAAAGCTTTGTCTTTTTGACTTGAATAGTTCTCGATAAAACCGGTGAAAACGTTTTTTGTTTACAAATGCAAATTAAGCTTAAGTCTTACGTTACTTTATTTGGTTGACTTTTTCATAAATAAGCTTAAAACTAAATTTAATAATCTTTTTTACAGAATTATTTTAAATACAAACAGAATCCACAACTCCTTTTGAAGAAACTTCCCCGCAAGAGCTAAACAAACGCCTTCAAAAGTTTTATTGTCGCTAAGAAAAAGCGACGACCGCAGTCGTTCGGTCATCGCGCGCCAAAATTGTAATCGTTGGCAACAGTAAATGAGTTAAAAATCATCATTTTGTGCTCAATTATCTCACTGTTTTAGTATATACTAAAACAATTATTCACCTCAGTGTCGGTGGCTAGTATTGGATATTTACCGAGGCCGCGAAGCGGCGAGGTAAATATCCAATACTAGCCACCGACACTGAGGTGAATAATTGTTATATATACTAAACTAGAAAAAGGCGATCATTATTACATCCAAACACGGCACAAGGATCTTTTTTCCCATTACAATCTAATTCTAAGAAAACTTTAAGAAAAAATGTCCCGAAAAGTGCTCGAAAATACAAACAAAATGTGCTCATGCCCCCCTGAGCATCCCATAATACTCCTTAAATCGAATTAATTCAATATGGCCGCCGTATCGGTAAAAAGGTCTATTCTTCTTCTAATTTTGCAAATCATTTTGAAAAAAAGATCATATAAAGATCCAGTTACCTTTATGCAGAAAGTGAAACCGTCTTAAATATCATAGCTCTCGAACCATTGGCGTGCGAAAATTTGCTACTTAATATCATCACACTCACGTATGCATTTAGTTTTAAAGTATTAAAGTGTACTAGTTTGAATGGTGTAGATTTTCGGCTTTTATATACTACGTTTTATAATAGTTTATCTTAATTAGTTTTAAATGTGTCCACAATTTATTTGGTGCCAAGAGGCGCTAGAACGCTTAGACACTTTAAAAAGGCTATGTTATGGTATGTTATGTTGCGTTACTTCAGTTGTTGTCTCTAATAAGACGGTTCGCCTTTTTATTTTGCCTGTAGGCAATTACACAAACGGACCTTCAGGCGGTTGAGCACCTGCGGGGAATTCTGTGGAATAAGAGCAAAATCATGTTTTTGGTTAGTTGGAAAAAGTATAATATAGATTTTCCTATAACCAGCTTTTGAAAAACCTTTGAAATCTGCAACGGTTACTTAAATTTTTTTATTATCATTTTGAGGTGGCTCGTGCCAATTTTTGACTTTTTCACGGCGCTTTTAACTTGGAATGCACGGAGCGAAAATCAAGCCAAAGCCATAGGAGTACTTTTGTAAAGCTGGACTAAAGCAGTGACTACTCTCTAGTGGTTACCATGGCAACGTCTCACAAGTTTTAGATCTAAAACCCAGCTTCCGGCACTGATTTCCCTAAAAGAGCCGGTGATACCACTTTGTGTTTGGACCATAGCTTTTTGCATTAAAAATGGAAAGTGCACATTAATTTCTAAAAAAATTTACGAAACAGAATTTTTTTGTCGGGTAGAAAATAAAATATTAATACGCATTGGAAATTTCCTTCTGTGCAGTTTTAAAGTTTTCCTCTGACATTTTCTCTCAAATGCAGTAAAATATTAATCCTTTCTTGTAGAAGGCTTTAAGATTTCGAAAATTTGCAGTTGCGTTTTTGTGCTTGTAAAAACTCAACTCTACAAGATCGAGTGTTCAATAATATGCTGTCACGACCCTGACGACCACCGATGAATGTTTCGTGTGCAGTTGCCGAAAGTCCTTGCAGAGCAACGAAATTTACACGCGTTAAATTTATGCGAACCGCTAGATAAAGTCGTTTTTTAAGTGGATGTAACTTTTATTTGATAGATGAGTGCCATCCTTCTTATTCATTTTATTCACTCTATACCTAAAAATATACTTACTCTGCACAACTTTGGTAATCTTTATTACCGTTGTTTCCGATTGGTTTCCAGCTGTCAAAAGAAATGATGCATTCTTTTAATTATATTTAAGCAAGCAACTTGAATAAAATAAAGTGAAACATCAATATGGTATCGGTCAAGTGACCAGCTATCGTTTTGTATCGATAAGATGTTTTCTTATTTCCAGCACAAGATCGCAGCACTATTTTGACATCGCATGTATACCCGTAACAAAGTTTTCGACAGGGAAGTATTAAAACTAATGGGATAGCTATGATTGAGTTATAATTGTATCAATATCGGTTAATTGCGGGATTAAAAAGTCCTTGTCAACTTATTACTTCAACAAGCTGCAACAGATCAGAAAGTGCATGTTTACAACACACTAATGGAAGTTAAGAGAACCATATGTCTTTCTGTATTTGTTTCTTCCCATTTATTTTCCCGACAGTTTATTAAACACATCCTGCTGTATAACTTACTAGGTGGAGGGACGTTATCCATAAAAGATGCCGGTCCTCCAGTACTTCCCATTGGATTGTATCTTGCCACAACAATAAGCCCATGTTTCTCGCTGCGTGCACTACCCACTCCAAGCTCCTTTGTGGACTTCCACACAACCTTTTTTGTTTATAGAAATGCACACAATTGGCGACAAAATTAGTTCAATCACCACAGGGCAACCATATAATCCGTTTGTGTAACCGATTGCTATTTTATAGTTTATGTATTGGATTTACCGTTTGCGGTGAACCCAAAATTCTGCCAAATCGCTCAAAATACCTCTTTTGAAACAAAAGGACGGCATTATACCGCAGGTAAGGTAGTAAAACTCTTATATAACATTAATCCATATTTCCAGTCATGTCATATTTAGAGATATATCGCTGTAGATTAAGCAAACGTTAAATGTAATTCATTTGCAATAAAATAACAATATTTTACCTCAAATGGAGCGATCTGTGGCCAAAACAACAACAACAACAACAACAACAAGAACAACAAGGCAATATTGATCGGGGGTAGGTGGAGGGGTTGTCATGGTTCCGAAAAATATACCTGTTAAACTAAACTCCCACAAAATCTGCTGCTGATTGAAGATACGTTTTTCTTTTTTTAGCTGCCATGCACATTGAAGTATCGGGAAAGAAGAAAATGTAAGTACAACTGTATGTATCGATTATTCTTACGTCAGTTGTTTAAGGGGAAGAATGATTATCATCAAAAAAGGACCACCTGATTAAAGTGACTGGTTGATTGTCCAACAGAGATTGGAGCACCTTTTTGGAAATCGTAGTTTTTTTTCTCACTGTACCACTTTCTAACGATATCTTCACAGCAGATGCAACCTGGTTTCGGAGGTACCTGGCACCTCTCTACGGGACCGGCCATCCATGCAATGTTCTCTCCTTGTCCTTTAGTAATAAGGTCTTGGTAATCGTGTTCCGCGCGGTCCGTGCTTGCCAGATTTTCGGCCCAGGTTTGGGCATCTTGGGCAAGAGATTCAGACCAGTAGAGTGCTGATACGTTATGTAGTGCCCTTAGCTTGTTATGAATTCGTATGCAATTCCTGTCAAAAGCATCGTAGGCCAAACCTACAATGATAAATCCTATAATTAAAAATCACATTGGAAATTCAATGAAAATAAAAATAATAAATAATAATAACAACAACAACAACAACAGTAATAATAATAATAATAATAATAATGTGGTTGTTGGTGCGCTTGGTACAGTGAAGAACGGTATGGTAGAAAACGTCAAGAAAGTATCAGAGAGAGCTACTATGACAGTGATTAAAAAGATCTGCATGCTGGGGTTTGCGCGAATCCTGAGAAAGGTGCTCAGTGTATGAACGGAATGATTGACTTGAGTGACTGACGCTCTAGGTGCATGGTTTGCGCCCGGCTGATGCACAAAAAGAACACAGCAAAGACTGTGATAAAAGAGATAATAATAATAATAATAATAATAATAATAATAATAATAATAATAATAATAATAATAACTGGAGGGGAAAGCCAAAAACTGATCTCTATTTATGAGTGGTCTTTAACCCATGCTAGGCCTCGTACAATTTTACTTTCAGTTGAAAAGAGGTACCATGCTAATGCTCTTAATACATTAATTTTGTTTATTACATGTAATGGTTAGTTAAATTTATTTTTTTTGGCGCAGTAGGATCCTTTGAAGCTTATCGTATATCGGTGGATTCGTGTTCTGGTGATTTGGTTTTAGGGTGGTTTCAGGTGTATTAACCTACATCTTAGTAGCCCCTCCCGTGTAAGAATCTAGGACGGCTGCTTATTACTATAGCTCTTATAGTATTATGAATGTGTAAGGAGAAATGATGATCTACTCCTCTTATCTGATCTTTCACATTATTATTAATAACTCTAATTTAACTTGAGAAAAAAACCTGACTGTACTGCTCTGATCTTATACTCTATACGTATCCAGGGACTTTTTCTTGTAAAGTGATAACTGTTCGAAGAAGCAAATATTGCTTGAAAATTTCTAAAGGTCGAGAAAGGATAAAATGTCTGGAGAAGTCCGTCCCATTCGTCTAAGATATTCGGAGTTGAAATTTTATCACCAAGATATTGCGAATACTACTTTCATAATGTGCCCTTGCATCAGTATGAAATCAATAAGCATAAAGGTTGAACAGATCGTAGAAAGCAAAACCTGTTGCAAAGAGGGAGATTACAAGGAGAGCCATCTTTGAAAAGCGAACGTGCATCGTCTCCATTCCTGAAAAAGAGAGAAAAGATTTACCGAACTTTCAAATCGAAAAGTAATAACAAAATCATCCACGTAGGCAATGTTTACAACTTCCAGTGGACCTTAGCTTTAAATTACTTTACGTAGTTTGTTAGTGCAGGCTACGTTCGTTTTATGGTAGTTAAAGTATTAGTCAGAGGGACTATGAAAATCACAACCCCGACGCAGGGACTTAGTTCATTACACGTCACTTTTAAAACCATTGAATTACATGGTTTGAGTGTAAGACAATATGAAAATCCAAAGAAAATCGTAACTTGCTATTGAAAAGGCTTGAATCACTACGGGGCCCAGCTCATCCTCCTGATTTTTTCTTTCTTTCTTTCTTTCTTTTTTTTGTCCTCCTGATGTCAAATTTGATGAAGCACCCTCATCTTGTTATTATACTCCAGAGTATAGAGAGATAAAGAGGAAGGAATAATAACGATAAATTTCCACTCACTTCAATCACACGCTTCAATCACTACGGCGGCCTGATGATCCTTCTGATGTTAAATTTGATATACTTGTTGGCCTCAAAGAGCACCCTTATCTTTTTATTTTACTTACTGCTCCAGCTAAAAGAGAACTAAAGAGGTAAGGATAATATCGATAAATTTCCACTCACTACTTAATCCCTTCCTTGATAGAGGTCAATGGTATTTCGTATGGTACTGCCAGTTGAGATAAACAGGTGTTTGTACACACTGGGCGTGGTTGTGGGACGATCTTGACTGATGAACGCGTTTTACGTGGTTACGATTTTATCCAAATAAATAAATAATAGTTAAAATAGATCAAAAAAAGAATCTTAAGTCCAAGGTTGGAAATAATGGACCCCAATAACAATTTTTGAAACAAGAGCGTAAACTTGTTCCCGCGAAAGGTGTCCCTTTTTTTTTCATGCTGGTTTTCACCATATAAATAGAAACCAGGTTTGACTTATGGGTAATTACATAAAAATTTTAGGACACTGAAAAACTTGCAAATAAAATTATCAATATAGTCAAAAATCAAATCCAAAACACCACCTTTCGTAAGCGGCCATCTTCCATGATGAAATGTTCTTGCCAATCCTTATAGTTGGACCCCTGCAGGCTTCTTCGGGTGTTACCGTTGGGAGATTCGCCTGTATTACTGACCCGATGATGCGAGTCAAAATGACTTGAAACGCTAAAAAAGTATATAACTTGAATGTTGTAAACTGCTGCACCATTACGTTTAAGTCAGTTGTTTCTTTAGTCTTCTACACATAGCCGCTCTTAATTTTGTTGCGCGCGCCGTTAGATAAAAAAAAAGGCTGATTGGGGGACTATGTTCCTCTTAAGAGTACTCTCTCTCTTTTCTTCTCGATCCCATTTTCCGAATTCGCTGTACTTGCTCCTTCAGGTGGCAAAAGTTTGCATTTACCTTTCGGGGTTGCGAATTTGACATGGTTGTAAGACGGCTAGTGAAACATATTCAGGGTTTAGCAAACTAGTGCGGCTGTCTAAACAATGTTCCTTTGCACATGTTGAATCAATCCTGATGCTTACATGCAGCTTATTAGGTGCATGTGTAGAGCACAAAAGCTAATCGCTGAAGCATAATAAACGTTTTCTGTTTTAAATAGGGTTATGATGTATCTTTACTAGTCATCTATGTGATGCAAATATCGAAAATTTGCTTAAAAGCTTTCAAAATCAACCCATAAAAAGACGATTTTAAAACAAATAAAGTAAATTTGAGGAACAAAAAAAAAGGAATTCAATTGAGACTGTTTTTAAATGTACATAGGCACTGGATAATTTGGCAAACACCCACTTAAACCTTTTGCTTTAGACAGCGACTCTATCCTGGCCTATCCAAACTGTTGTAACAGTAAGCACCAGAAAGTAGTGCCCCTGCCTGACAGTGTCTGAGTTAATAGAGACCTTTAGATTCTAATATGAGTACAACAACGAGTACGAAATTTTCTCAGTACTAAGAAGGGCTTGCGCGTGAACCAGCGCCATTTGGGCGGGAAAACGTGGTAGCCGTCGTCACTCTACTACGACTCGGAGTTTTAGTGAGAACTTGGGTCGAAGTGAGGAAAACAAGTTATCAAATGTTAAAAGTTTTATCATTTTGTGATCGGAAGAGGGTGTAACCTCCTTCACTAAAGGCAACAGTGCTAACTTTTCTTGTGAAAATGGTAAAATCAAGCTTTTGGGGAGTCTATATTTTGATAATTCGCGAAAAAACTTTAAGTCAAATCTGGTACTCGTAATCGTCCTCGTCCTTTAATCTAAAGCTATCTACTATTCGATCCACCACAGGGTTTTCCCATGTATGAACATGTCTCGCCTTTTAATGAATACACATGTCAGTGAAAAAAAAAGCAAAGTAATCCTCTTAAATGAAAGGGTTCGAAATTTCACTAGCCTGTTTATAACTTTATAAGTAACGAATGTGCAACTTGATAATGGTAAAAACGTTTACCAGAGTAAATTGAACAAGCTGAGAAAGTAGTTCAGGTATGAAAAGTCCTTTTTTCAGTCCTGTCAAACATTACGTAACGAAATTTGAAATAGTAAAGACGGCATTAAAAGCTCAGGTAAATATATACAAGTTAAGAAATTGGTTCAAGCAGGACAAGAAACTGTTCGGGTTACGACTAGGAGACTCACAAGGCTAAGAGGAGACGCAAGAGACGCTATACCATTTGTACATCCATTTTATGAAACAGTAATAAATAGATCGCGAACTTAATTCGGTTATTCTCACAATCATTAATTTTTCTAAAATTCAATTTCCCTAGCTCTGACCTCGCAGTATTACATCTGCTGCTTTAGCCGTGATCAGCTTAAGTTAATCTCCGAGTCTTGGAGAGCCTCTTTGTTAATAATGTTGACGATCCACGGAAGAAAGGTTTGCACATTGGAATATACTCCATAAGCCCCGGGTCTAGCGCAACCGACTCCCCAACTAATAATGCCTTTTAATACCCAAGAGTCGTTCTTTTTACAGACTAATGGCCCTCCACTGTCTCCCTGACACGCGTCAATGCCTCCCTCGGCTAAGCCTGCACAAAACATCCGGGTTGTTATATTTTTTGTTTTATAAGCTTCTTGGCATGTCTTCTGAGGTACAATTGGTACACTGGCTTCTTGAAGAGTGGCTGACACATCTCCTCCCTGCTCCGTAACACCAAAACCAGTGACGTAACACATTGTTCCAGTTCTGAATGTCATGCTTTCTTCAGGAAGGCAGACTGGTCTTATAGTTTTCGACAGTTCTACAGGAGTTTCTAGCTTAAGCAATGCGATATCATAGTCAATGGTTTCAGGATTGAACTGTTCGTGAAGGAACAAGTTTGAGACGTTTACTAAAACTTCTTTTCTTCCTTTTTTCTCCTGATTAAATTCTCCTAGGATTACCTCTATGTGTGGTATTTTACCAGGGGTTGAAGTGTACTTAACCATATCATATAAACAATGTGAAGCAGTTACTATCCACTGTGACTTAATGAGTGAGCCACCACAAAAAATAGTGTCTTCTGCGGACCGCTTTAGTCCTGCCTGCCATGGCCACTCTCCTATTTCAGCTGTCTGGCCTCCTACAATATAACTCGGTTGCTGCTGCCCCGAAGGCATCGGTGGAGCGGGTGGGGAAGCTTTACCTAGACACCGAAACCAAAACTATAAGGTCACTGATCACCAGTTAAATAATAGTGCAACACTAGTCTGATTATTCATATAGTTAACAGCCGGCTCTTTTGGCTCTCACTTTTTGCTCGACCCATTCAAGCCTTTTGGAAACTACACTGTACCCTGATAAATGCGTAACGCAAAATAAACTCGAAAAAAATTCAAAGGCATCAAAACCAAACCTTGCTCACTTGAGTAGAGAAATCTGGCTGTACATATGCTTTTGTTTAGTTGTAATTTTGTTTACAAATCGCTATTGCAGATATCACTCTGTACCTGGACCTGCTGGGATCGGAGGCATCGGAATCCACGGAACATGTGGGGGTGTCCCCTTGCAGCCTGGATATGAAAAGGTTTATATAAGTAGTAGCAGTGCAATAACAAAGCAAGGAATTATTAAGGCACAAGCAGAAATTTCTAGACACAAACCAATAAATAAGTTGTTATACCTACTATCCTTGTGTTTGACTGGCTGACGATGTCTGTGACTTGATAGGAGCAGTTTTCTTTTCTTTGGTCACCTTAAGGAATGAATGGTTTTACATGCTGGCTGGTAAAGGAGCTAGGTCACGATTACTGAAATAATGGTTCATTTTTATCATTCTATAACTACGATACCTCAGGTGAGAGTGTAAGTGTTTGGCTTTTGTTCCATAGCGCTAGCTGGGGTGGAAACAGATTACATTTTGGAAAAAAAGGGGAAGCTTTTTCAAGTTCAACTTCTGAGTTATAATAAATGACCAAACACCGATAGTGCCTTACTTTTACTAATATAAAATCGTTTGAACTCTTTCTTTTACGTTCTAAGTAAAGTAAAATATGACTGAGAATATTTAGACATAATATCAGATCAGCTTTGTCCAAAAAATATCGAACTCAGCATCACAAAACCCCTTCAAGTTACGCTTAAATCACGCAAGACCAACAAGAGTTAATAAAAATCTGCTCTATATAGCCTCCACAATTCGCTTACTAACTAACTCCTGTTGTCTCAAAGCTAAATGAGTACAAGAGTGAGAGGTCATTTCAGGAAAAACTGAAATGTATGAAAACTTGAAAATCTCAATAAACGACGAAAAATGTTATGAAAATCAATAAAATTGCTACATGTGGCTAATAATAATCAAGGGCTATAGATGGCTAGCGCTGAGAACAGGATGAAAAAAAATTTAACTAATAGTACTGAATATCTTGTTCCGTTACTTTAGGTGTCGGCCACGTCTAGTTATTTCTCATTACCTGAAGAGATGTGACGCAAATTAAAAAGGACGACGACTAGAATTAAGATCACAAACATTTTCTCTGAAAATGATTTCTTTTGCCTTTTAAAGTTCGGTAAAGGCGTGTCTTAAATTAAGAAAATGAAATTCTTAGCAGGTTTCATAGGCGTCAAAAATGGTGTCATTTTTGTCGTAATCTCAATCATTCACCATTTTCACCGGGACCATAATGCACCTTATTTACCCTTCAAACTTACATAACAATTGTTTCCAATTTCTCCAGGGTGTTACAGTCGCCCCCCAAAAAATCGAAGACGGCGCTAATGCCAAATTTTGGGGGTAAACAAGGTGCAGTATGATCTCGGTGAAAACAGTTAATTCGTTACTTTCTTACATGATCGAAAAGGACAACTAAAATTGAATTAATCAAAGGCTTCATACATTCGGTTGAAAGACAGTCGCTTGTTATTTTCTTAAAGAAGGTAATAGAACTTGATCTTCGATCGCAAGTTTTAATAACTAGCACATTCGTCAGTTAATGATACTAGAAATGCTGGTTTATAGTTATAATAATATAGGTATACTAGATAATTGGTCCTGTCGCGTTTGCGGACATCGTAGTTTTTTGTATCCATCCCAAAACTGTCTTTATGTTAGCGTAAACGCCATATTTGCCTGGTACAGCACATCCTTGCCCCCAACTCACGACTCCTTTTAAGTACCAGCTGGATTCACTCTTACAGACCAGTGGTCCTCCACCATCCCCCTGACAAGCGTCACCGCCTCCCTCTTCGAACCCTGCGCAAAACATCCTTGGGGTGATGATATGATCTCTATACACAGCTTTACATGCTCTCTGGCTTGCAATCGGCACTTTGACTATCACCAGCTTGGCAAACACATTACTTCCGGCCTTTGGAATTCCATATCCAGAAACAAAGCAGATCGTTCCAGACTCGAAGTCCAAATTCTCGGAGGGGAGCTTCACCGGGTGAATGTACTGTAACGGACTCGGTTCAATCGGATCGCCAAGCCGCAGTAATGCAAAGTCGTAGTCTTGAGTGTTACTATCATATTTCTCATGAATGAAAACTTCGGTCGCGTTTGTTGCCAGGCCATCTTTGTACTTGAGATCTCTTTCGCCGACGATGACTTCAATCAAAGGTGTTGGTGCCATGTCCTTCATGTAAAAAACACAGTGTGCGGCGGTAAGTACCCAAGAAGGGCTTATCAGTACTCCACCACAAAACACGCTTTTTTCATTTGGGTGCCTGAGTCCTGCCTGCCAAACCCAACTCTCAGGAGACCCTTGATTGACTGCTTCCATAAGGGCAGATTCCTGCATGTACTGCAGTGGGTGTATGCGGCTCCCTGACGAATTCGACATAAAAATAAAGAAAAAAAAATTAAATTAAAACGGGCTAAATGCTAGACAACTCAAGATTTTCATGCGAAGAAACGAAATGAAACTAACTATTAAGCTAAATGGCAGAATCCATCCTGCACATTTATTGTTTTTGTTTTCAATTAGTTCTCGATAGGTCATTGTTACAGAAATAATGAGACGTATACCATAGATGAATTGGGGCCATGTGCTAAAGTAAATAAGATAAAAATTTACCTGATCGAGCTGCCGGAATAAAATGTAGGAAAAAAAGAATAAGATACATCTTTAGCTATTGAATTTTTTTCATCCGAATCAGCTAAACTAATAACAGGTTAAATGACAGCCCAGTGTGCTTTCAGCTGGTAAGAAATGACGCCCATAAAGAATATTTTTATGGTTGTTTATTTTTACGGCCTCCGTTTTGCTGAAAAAAAAAAATCCGATGTTACTAACTCTCCGAACAGCTATGAAATAGATCCCTGTTTTTATCGAGAAAAGTCAATTTATTTCAAGCTCAGTCAAAAGTATTTATTTTAGCAGGTTTTCTTAACATAAGCAGAGAATCGTGGCCATGTTCCACTTAATTGATGTTTTTGTTCATCCTCCCGACGGGTTCACTCAATAATGTATTTGTTGTCTAAAAGAAATTGGTAGTCGATCAGTGAAACTGAAATAAAGCGACCCAGTTTAGTTGGTCAACGTGTTTGCAGTTATTTGAAAAGCGGGTGGCCATATTTTGTTTTCTAGTTTTACCACCTAGTTCACAGTTCAATAGTTCTGTCAGTATCAAATATGGCGGACAACTTGTTTTTTCCGTAGTGGAAGAGAGAAAAAGAGAGTCGCCTATTTAAAGGTAAATCGATACTGTAACCCAAAAACATACACCAAATTTTTAGTTTTCTTTTGATACGCTACCAATATTACAAAAAGAAAACGTACAAGAAATTTGGAATTTGAGTTAATTGAAACCTTTATCGTTTCAGGGATATTATTTAGTAAATATTCTGATATTTTCAATATAACAGACTATCTTTGAACGATTGTTGCCAACACTTTGTTTATGATTGTTATAAAATGCGTTGCTGACATTTAAAAAAGTGATTTTTATTTAAGAGTGGTTAGAAGGATGTGCTTCCTGGTCTTAAGAAGAAACCGGTAACTAAAATTCCGCGCATGTAGCTAATACAATCGTAGTTTTTATTTTTGCTTTGCTGAAGATGTGACTGGCAGGAAAAGGCGTCAATGGCATTTTATTCTCTTCTTCAACTGTATATCTGTTGCCTGGTGCTCTTCTCAGGTAAAATAACATAATATTGTTAATATTACTGCATGTTTATGAAGTAAAATCTTCGTTCGTTAGAGTCCGCTGCCAATATTCGCCATGCATCAATAGCAAACGTTCCTTCTTACAGAGGGGCTACATTTCATAGGGTGTGAGGGGCTTCTTGACATGCAGAAAAAAAATATAAAATAATCAATAATAATAATAATAATAATAATAATAATAGTAATAATGATAATGATAATAATGATAATTCTAAGAATAATAAAACCACGTCAAAATTTCACCGAAAGTGAATATTCATTTAAATGGCAAAATCTGCATCTCGCTTAAAATATAATCTCTTGTATGTATGTCTATAGGGCTTACAGGGAGGCAATGTTCGGATCATGCTGATCCTACATCCTAGATGTATGATCATATGGATTATCTATTATAAGAATAGTCACGTGTTGGGGTGAACTGCGCTGATTGAAATGTACACGGTATGCATGCGATCAAAATAAAGGAATATGTAGCGGGTGTATCCTCTAAAGAAAGCTTAACTTGACAATTTAGTTCTCCCGTAGAGCTTAGCTGGTCAAATTTGAAAATTTCTAGGTCTTACCTACGATCCTTTTGATCGTGACTGCGTCATTGAACACAACAAGCTGAGAAGGCTCCATGGCGCCCAGCCCCTCTCCTGGTCTGAAGCCCTCGCCGAGGACGCGCAGAAATGGGCGGAATATCTTGCAATTAACGACAAAATCGAACATGACGGAGAGAGTTTAGCCGAAAGAGACGAGGGAGAAAATATCGCTTGGTTCGTGCCACCTCAGCCTAAGTGCGAAGGACCTTGGAAACCGAATTGTGTGACTTGCGCCGAGGTAGTACAAAACTGGTACGATGAAGGAAAAAACTACAACTATCAGCAAGGGGCAGCAAAAGAATCTGGTTTACCAATCAAACATTTTGCACAGGTTAGACTGTTTGTATATTTTGTCAGTATTATATTTTGCCTTTATATTCTCAAACATTGACACTACCTGGGACATGTGCTGTTCTCCAACCGTAGAACGGTCAATATCCATACAGCTGTTCCACATTTCGCTTAACTGAGACCACGAGGTTGACACAAAGTCCGATTGTCAAAAAGGCGCCCGCAATACAACATGGCGTTAGTTTTACTAAAATCTATGGCGCGCGCGTCGAGTTTCACATTGAATATTCGGTTAACATGTGCATATGTAAAGGTTGAAAGCTTCGAGAAAGATAACTACATTTATTTGTTCTAGGTTATTTGGAATGCATCTATGGAGATTGGCGTCGGTAGCGCAATCTCTAAATCGTTTGGGTTTATATCAGTGGCACGGTATTCTCCGAAAGGAGGGTCTGGTGGACCAGAAGCGTTCAGGAGAAATGTGTTTTCTAAAGGTATTATGATAAAGTGAAATGAGACTATGCTGATAATATCCGACTTTTTATATGCAAAATATCATGGTTTTGCTCAACTGCCTTTGATGATATTATCATAAATTAGCATGCCATCCTGAATGGAATAATGTAAATATTCGGAACCCTCTGAAAATGTCCTCAATGGTTCCACCATGACAATGCCCTGATTAAGACAAAAGAAGTGTTAGATAAAAATTAATGCGGCTTTAGCTCGCTTTCTTGTGAGGACAGTTATTGCAGCAACAAAAACAAAATTTAACACTAATACGATCAAAACTCGCTAAGACAAATGCCTTGGGACTGGGACTGTGAGTACGCCTTAGAGAAATGTCCGTCTTATAAAGAAAAGAAGTGTGACGTCACCAAAATTCAAATTTGTGGAATTATGGGACTGGCTAACATATACAGAAAGAACAAGATGAAAAAGCCCCCTTGCCAAAAATCAGCCTGTTAGTGCAAATTGGTCAGGAGTGCACCGGTTTGCAGTGATGACTCGTAACGATCCAGGCCTCTTTTAGAAGGATTTATATGGAGTCATCGGAGCATAACGTTGCCAATATCTCCTCTCTCCTGCTCCTCACCAATGTGCACTAACAGGGTCATTTTTGGCAAGGGGGCTTCTTCATCTTTTTCTGATTTCCACTTCTCTCTTAAAATGAAACTTGCGTAGTTGTATTCAAATAGACACTAAAGTAGGGATTCAGTTATAACTGGTCATGGGCGACCTTCCTGGTATTGAAGAGTCCTGTCATCTACAAAAAACCTCCTGTGATAGTTACTAAACTGCTTTATTTGTCTTTTCGTCGTTCCTTACAGGCACATTACAAGAACCAAATACAACTAGAGAATCAGGTATTACTTAAATGTAACCATCGGGATCGGTTACATAATACACTTAAGAGACTACTTGTTTTTTACGGACAGCCCTAAATCGAGGGAAAGTATTAGAGCGAACCGTCTCCCAATGAATCAATCATTAGGCGTCTTGCATCGCTCCAAAGAAAATCTGAAGTGGACTGATCTCTGTTTCCTTTTTTAATATCTGACAATAAGGATGAAAGAAGAAATCAACCGTGAGCAACACTCCATTCGATACCTTTTGTCCGCCATTTGGCTATACTCTTGTTCGTTTGGAAAGGTCGTCTGCCCTAATGTAGGTTTTACTGTATTAGAACACAACTTAACGTAACAGGGCTTAAACAACCCGACTCTGCCGGATTGTGTGATTATCGACCACATTACACTGATTGGCATTTTGAACGGGACTAAAAAACCAACATTTTTAATTGATATTGATGAAAAGTAATCCTAATAAATGTACAGTTAAAAAGCCTTCCAGTTTAATGAAATGCGGTAAACCTGGCCCTTAGAGAAAAAATTGACTTACGTTTTGGGAAATGTAATGGGAATCTACGCATCTGAGGAAAACAACCATTTATCGAACATTTGTGTATTATTTTTCGCTTTAGAAGAAGACACGATGAACTCATCACCGACCGGTGAAGGTGAAAGCCTGGCTGATGAAAGTAAGACACTGCATGCACTATATGCGCCATCACAAACTAAACATAGCCCGAGAAAACAGCGGACATTTCGCGACGTCACCACCAATTTCCTCTCGAAGTGACGTCTGAGGAACGAGCGCAGAAATTCCGTACTGATGACGCGTCACTACCAAAATCTGGATAGTGCTTCTAATTGGTTGAAGCACATTTCCTTCACGTCAAGACCGATCACAAGCACCCTCCAGATCTTGTTAGTGGTGCCTCATCAGTATGAAATTTCTCCAGTAGTTCCTCAGGTGTCATTTCGCAGGGAAATGTGTTTTCTCGGGCTAACTTAATAAAGAGTGTCTTATGCATGATTACGTCAGAGGAACTGCACCACCAAGCCTCGGTCGTTAGAAAATTCCTCCCTTTAGTATCTTTGTGCGTGGGAATTCATTCATGCAAAACTTCGCAACATCACAATTAAAAATAACATAATATTGTTAATATTACTGCATGTTTATGAAGTAAAATCTTCGTTCGTTAGAGTCCGCTGCCAATATTCGCCATGCATCAATAGCAAACGTTCCTTCTTACAGAGGGGCTACATTTCATAGCGTGTGAGGGGCTTCTTGACATGCAGAAAAAAATATATAAAATAATCAATAATAATAATAATAATAATAATAATAATGATAATGATAATAATGATAATTCTAAGAATAATAAAACCACGTCAAAATTTCACCGGAAGTGAATATTCATTTAAATGGCCAAATCTGCATCTCGCTTAAAATCTAATCTCTTGTATGTATGTCTATAGGGCTTACAGGGAGGCAATGTGCGGATCATGCTGATCCTACATCCTACATGTATGATCATAATTATGGATTATCTATTATAAGAATAGTCACGTGTTGGGGTGATCTGCGCTGATTGAAATGTACACCGTATGCATGCGAGCAAAATAAAGGAATATGTAGCGGGCGTATCCTCTAAAAGAAAGCTTAACTTGACAATTTAGTTTTGCCGTAGAGCTTAGCTGGTCAAATTTGAAAATTTCTAGGTGTTAGCTATGATCTTTTTGATCGTGACTGCGTCATTGAACACAACAAGCTGAGAAGGCTCCATGGCGCGCAGCCCCTCTCCTGGTCTGAAGCCCTCGCCGAGGACGCGCAGAAATGGGCGGAATATCTTGCAATTAACGACAAAATCGAACATGACGGGGAGAGTTTAGCCGAAAGAGACGAGGGAGAAAATATCGCTTGGTTCGTGCCACCTCAGCCCAAGTGCGAAGGACCTTGGAAACCGAATTGTGTGACTTGCACCGAGGTAGTACAAAACTGGTACGATGAAGGAAAAAACTACAACTATCAGCAAGGGGCGGCAAAAGAATCTGGTTTACCAATCAAACATTTTGCACAGGTTAGACTGTTTGTATATTTTCTCAGTATTATATTTTGCTTTTATATTCTCAAACATTGACGCTACCTGGGACATGTGCTGTTTTCCAACCGTAGAACGATCAATATCCATACAACCGTACCGCAATTTCCACACCAATTTGCTGTCTAATTTCGCTTAACTGAGACCACGAGGTTTACACAAAGTCCGATCGTCAAAAAGGCACCCGCAATACAACATGGCGTTAGTTTTACTTTTAACATGTGCATATGTTAAGGTTGAAAGCTTCGAGAAACATAACTACATTTATTTGTTCTAGGTTATTTGGAATGCATCTATGGAGATTGGCGTCGGTAGCGCAATCTCTAAATCGTTCGGGTTTATATCAGTGGCACGATATTCTCCTAAAGGAGGGTCCGGTGGACCAGAAGCGTTCAGGAGAAATGTGTTTCCTAAAGGTATTATGATAAAGTGAAATGAGACTATGTTGATAATATCCGACTTTGTATATGCAAAATATCATGGTTGTGCTCAGCTGCCTTTGATAATATTATCATAAATTAGCATGCCATCCTGAATGGAATAATGTAAATGTTCTGAACCCTCTGAAAATGTCCTCAATGGGTCCACCATGACAATGCCCTGATTAAGACAAAAGGAAGTGTTAGATAAAAATTAATGCGGCTTTAGCTCGTTTTCTTGTTGGGACCGTTATGGCAGCAACAAAAACAAAATTTAACATTAATACGATCAAAACTCCCTAAGACAAATGCCTCTCTCTTAAAATGAAACTTGCGTAGTTGTATTCAAATGGACACCAAAGTAGGGATTCAGTTATAACTGGTCATGGGCGACCTTCCTGGTATTGAAGAGTCCTGTCCTCTACAAAAAACATCCTGTGATAGTTACTAAACCGCTTTATTCGTGTTGTCGTCGTTCCTTACAGGCACATTACAGGAACCAAATACAACTAGAGAATCAGGTATTACTTAAATGTAACCATCGGGATCGGTTACATAATACACTTAAGAGACTACTTGTTTTTACGGACAGCCCTAAATCGAGGGAAAGTATTACAGCGATCAGTCATTGAGCGTCTTGCATAGCTCGAAAGAAAATCTGAAGTGGACTGATCTATGTTTCCTTTTTTTATATCTGACAATAAGGATGGAAGGAGAAATCAACCATGAGCAACATTCCATTCGATCCCTTTTGTCCGCCATTTGGCTATACTCTTGTTCGTTTGGAAAGGTCGTATACCCTAATGCAGGTTTCACTGTATTAGAACACAACTTAACGTAACAGGGCTTAAACAATACGACTCTGCCGGATTGTGTGATTAATTATCGACCACACTAAATTGATTGGCATTTTGAATGGGACCAGAAAACCAACATTTTTTATTGATATTGATTAAAAGTAATGCTAATAAATGTACATTTAACAAACCTCCGAGTTTAATGAAATGCAGTAAACCTAGCCCTTAGGGAAAAGATTGACTTTAGTTTTGGGAAATGTAATGGGAATCTACGCATTTGAGGAAAACAACCATTTTTCGAACATCTTGTTTATTATTTTTCGCTTTAGAAGAAGACATGATGAACTCATCACCGACCGGTGAAGGTGAAAGCCTTGCTGATGAAAGTAAGACACTGCATGCACTATATTTGTCATCACATACTAAACATAGCCTGAGAAAACAGCGGACATTTCGCGACGTCACCACTAGTTTCCTCTCGAAATGACGTCTGAGGAACGAGCGCAGAAATTCCGTACTGATGACGTGTCACTACCGAAATCTGGGTAGTGCTTCTACTTGGTTGAAGCATATTTCCCTCACGGCATGACCTAACACAAGCACCCTCCAGATCTTGTTAGTGGTGCCTCATCAGTATGGAATTTTTCCAGTGGTTCCTCAGGTGTCATTACGCAGGGAAATGTGTTTTCTCGGGCTAACTAAATAAAGAGTGTCTTATGCATGATTACGTCAGAGGAACTGCACCACCAAGCCTCGGTCGTTAGAAAATTCCTCCCTTTAGTATCTTTGTGCGTGGGAATTCATTCATGCAAAACTTCGCAACATCACAATTTCACAACGTCAAGATTGCCGGTGAAATTTGCTCGTCTGGTTAGGATGGATTAAAGTTAGGGAAGGCTTCTGCGCCCAGCAGCTTTGTAGGGCTAGTATGGGCACTTTCCATTTTTCAAAAAAGTCTGGATATTCTGGTTTGGATGTAGTGAATCACAAATCTTGCGGCGATTATCACTTTTACTCTAAAAGGTATACTTGGTTTACGTAAGACTGCTTCAGGGTTTGACCAGGAACCCCAAAATCACCTATAATTTATCTGGTGTCGCAAAATATAGTTGTCCAAACCTAGTAGTTTTTTTATCAGACAAATATAAAAAGGATGCCGCACTTCTGCCTAGCATAAGTTTAGTTAGGAATTCAAGCTCTCTAAGAATAGACAAGTTATCTTTGCGTATTCTTTTTGCCTATAAGACGGATCCATCCCATTGAAGTTGTGAAGCTCCAATTCTCAGAATCAAGGGAATTATAGCGACGCACGCTTATAATAAAACCATTGTCGCTCATGTTTAAAATAGGAGGGGGGGAGGGGGGAAATAAGAAAAATAGACTTAATTTGGCTTATCTACTATGCTGTTGCATGTATGTCTTCTTTTACTTAGGCATTAATATAATTGTCACTTTCAGAAATGGACAATCGAGAAATGGAGAAAAAACCCTTGGAAGATATTACGTGTGGAATAGTCAAGAGAGGGGGACCAACTGGAGACGAACCCGTTAAACCTGGTGAATTTCCCTGGGAAGTAGGCTTCAGATATCAAAACCGGTTTGGCAAGTCAAACGTGTTTTGTCGTGGATCTTTGTTGGATAGAGAATGGATTTTGACAGCCGCACATTGTTTTGTGGTCCGCGTAAATCCCAAATTTAAGCTGAAAGTTATCCTGGGTGAATTTGACGATCAAAATGAGGAAGGCCAAGAGGTGGTTGCCGAGGCTGTCAAAGTTATAAGACACCCATTGCATAGAAGAAACACGAAAGATTACAATATCGCACTAGTGAAACTAAAGACGCCGCTTAAGGAATACAACGATTACATGAGACCAATATGTTTGCCCGATCAATCTGTGTCATTTTCCGGGGGAGAAATTTGTACAGTGACGGGATTTGGTCTTGATTATTCTGCAGGGACACTTCGTAGGATCGATGTCCCCATAATTTCGCCCGATGAATGCCGAAGGAATGTCCGTTGGTTAACTGATAGTATGTTATGTTCAGGGTACACCGAGAGAATTCTTGATACTTGTAAAGGGGACAGTGGCGGGCCTTTAGCATGCTACGTTAATGGGAAGTTTTATCTTGGGGGAATTGTGAGTCATGGTAAGAGGTGCTCAAGAGTCCGATCTCCAAATATTTACACGAACGTAAAATATCTCAAACCTTGGATCATTCATGTCACCAAAAACTACTGAACCAGTTCTATTCACTGATTATGTTTTTGTGTTTCACAGCGTTTAGTAAAACCTTTAAACATTACAGTGTCTATCATTTGCAACTGAGGAACAATACAAAACTGCTGAATTCTTATCTCAGGTCTTATTTATTTATTTATTTATTTATTTGTTTACTGAACACCGATAATTTTCTAACTGGCTTTAATATCCCGGCTAATTCCTCAAAACCAGTAGGCTCTGACCAAATTTGGAAGATGCAAGCGATATACCATTGACACGATTTATATCAATTGTCAGTCACATTGACGTCACCCAGAAAAGGTGTATGTACCGAGAAACAGGCGAATGTTTTGAAGAAAGCCTTCTTGGAGGTGAAAATGTTAAGAATCGAACTTAGAAAGATGAAAAAATAGTGATAATAATTATTGAATTCGGCTTATGTAGGAGTGTGTCATCCACCGAGGCCGAAAGGCCGAGTCTTCATATCGTACTTCTGTACCCTACTGTAGAGAACTGTTTAATATGTATCGTTTGTTTTCTCTACTCTTTATCCTTACTAGTAGGCAACATTGTCCAGTGGCTAAGAGTCCTGAATTTCATTTCGGTTACCCCGGGTTCAAATCTCCCTCTTGCAACTTGCCGTGTGTGTTCTCGATTGTCCCAGCCTTCACACACGCTTGTGGCCAGCTGGTCTGCTTTCAGACAGTGGGCTTTCTTTGCTACGTTTTTTTAAATATCTACCTCTATATACTTCTTTGTTGCTTATGTTAGGTCATTTTGGTTGCGAAAGCTCTCACTTTCAAAACAAGGCTTCTTGCGTTTAATGAGTTTCACTTACACGCGAATATGAAATAATTTTCATATCAGTGGCTTCCCACTTAGGTTCGCCTCGAAACAGAGGTTTGGGGCAACTTAGAAATTTGTGTCGCCTCTACATATCAATTTTTTCGTCATTGCTTTTTTTTTGTTACACATAATAAAAATGGGGCGTAACAAAGTCGTAACGTCAGACCGCTCACCCTGAAGATCTTCAGAAGTTCTGTCCGTCTTAATTAGACGGATAGAATATGTTGGACGTTCCAAAACTGAGACATTCAGACGAACGTATTAACTGGGCCACACGTCAAACTTTTCATGAACTTAACTCACTAAGTTCGGTTCGTTTCATAAAAAGTTCGATGTTTGGCTCAGTTCAGTTCGTCTGAATGAGTTTGGATCGTCCAAGACGTTTTTTTTTTTTTATCACACTGGAGTTAGTGCCCTCCTCAGCGACCATTCCGTGGAGGAAAGACCAAGTTAAGTTTAATTTAATTGATATCAGATAACTTCATGAGGAATACGTCTCCCTTGTTTGTTTTCGTCTATTTAACGTGTCTATCTAATCTAAGTAACAGCATTTTTCCCATAAAATATATAACAATTATTCACCGAAGTGGAGGTGGCTAGTGGGATATTTACCGAGGCCGCGAAGCGGCGAGGTAAATACCACCAGCACTAGCCACCGACACCAAGGTGAATACTAGTTTTCGTAAATACTAAAACAGTGAGATAATTGAGCACAAAAAGGATGATTTTTAACTCATTTACTGTTGCCAACGATTACAATTTTGGCGCGCAATGAACGTGGTTGCCCATAACAAGAGAGCGGTTTATGGATCTCTTTTTCTTGTCTGGTCAGAGGAGTTGGCCAGCGAAGCTCAGAAGTGGTGTGAAGAACTCGCTTTAAATGACATACTCGAACAGGAAGACAAAAATCTGAGCACAACATAAATAAAAATATTGCTTCAAAATGGAGGTCCTCAAAGTGATTGTTCAAAAATGGTAAATGGAAGAACGTAACAGAACTAGACGTTCCAGACGAGAATACCTAAAGCGCCTGGATTGCCAATCAAACACTTTGCATAGGAATATCTAAAAGTGTGCGCTCATTGACCAGTTTTAGCGTTTTTGGTAAAACTAAGATAGCAGCGACGAGGCAAATAAAGAGTGTCTTATGCATGATTACGTCAGAGGAACTGCACCACCAAGCCTCGGTCGTTAGAAAATTCCTCCCTTTAGTATCTTTGTGCGTGGGAATTCATTCATGCAAAACTTCGCAACATCACAATTTCACAACGTCAAGATTGCCGGTGAAATTTGCTCGTCTGGTTAGGATGGATTAAAGTTAGGGAAGGCTTCTGCGCCCAGCAGCTTTGTAGGGCTAGTATGGGCACTTTCCATTTTTCAAAAAAGTCTGGATATTCTGGTTTGGATGTAGTGAATCACAAATCTTGCGGCGATTATCACTTTTACTCTAAAAGGTATACTTGGTTTACGTAAGACTGCTTCAGGGTTTGACCAGGAACCCCAAAATCACCTATAATTTATCTGGTGTCGCAAAATATAGTTGTCCAAACCTAGTAGTTTTTTTATCAGACAAATATAAAAAGGATGCCGCACTTCTGCCTAGCATAAGTTTAGTTAGGAATTCAAGCTCTCTAAGAATAGACAAGTTATCTTTGCGTATTCTTTTTGCCTATAAGACGGATCCATCCCATTGAAGTTGTGAAGCTCCAATTCTCAGAATCAAGGGAATTATAGCGACGCACGCTTATAATAAAACCATTGTCGCTCATGTTTAAAATAGGAGGGGGGGAGGGGGGAAATAAGAAAAATAGACTTAATTTGGCTTATCTACTATGCTGTTGCATGTATGTCTTCTTTTACTTAGGCATTAATATAATTGTCACTTTCAGAAATGGACAATCGAGAAATGGAGAAAAAACCCTTGGAAGATATTACGTGTGGAATAGTCAAGAGAGGGGGACCAACTGGAGACGAACCCGTTAAACCTGGTGAATTTCCCTGGGAAGTAGGCTTCAGATATCAAAACCGGTTTGGCAAGTCAAACGTGTTTTGTCGTGGATCTTTGTTGGATAGAGAATGGATTTTGACAGCCGCACATTGTTTTGTGGTCCGCGTAAATCCCAAATTTAAGCTGAAAGTTATCCTGGGTGAATTTGACGATCAAAATGAGGAAGGCCAAGAGGTGGTTGCCGAGGCTGTCAAAGTTATAAGACACCCATTGCATAGAAGAAACACGAAAGATTACAATATCGCACTAGTGAAACTAAAGACGCCGCTTAAGGAATACAACGATTACATGAGACCAATATGTTTGCCCGATCAATCTGTGTCATTTTCCGGGGGAGAAATTTGTACAGTGACGGGATTTGGTCTTGATTATTCTGCAGGGACACTTCGTAGGATCGATGTCCCCATAATTTCGCCCGATGAATGCCGAAGGAATGTCCGTTGGTTAACTGATAGTATGTTATGTTCAGGGTACACCGAGAGAATTCTTGATACTTGTAAAGGGGACAGTGGCGGGCCTTTAGCATGCTACGTTAATGGGAAGTTTTATCTTGGGGGAATTGTGAGTCATGGTAAGAGGTGCTCAAGAGTCCGATCTCCAAATATTTACACGAACGTAAAATATCTCAAACCTTGGATCATTCATGTCACCAAAAACTACTGAACCAGTTCTATTCACTGATTATGTTTTTGTGTTTCACAGCGTTTAGTAAAACCTTTAAACATTACAGTGTCTATCATTTGCAACTGAGGAACAATACAAAACTGCTGAATTCTTATCTCAGGTCTTATTTATTCATTTTTTTATTTATTTACTGAACACCGATCATTTTCTAATTAGCTTTAATATTCCGGCTAATTCCTCAAAACCAGTAGGCTCTGACCAAATTTGGAAGATGCCAGCAATATACCATTGACACGATTTATATCAATTGTCAGTCACATTGACGTCATGCAGAAAAGGTGTATGTACCGAGAAACAGGCGAATGTTTTGAAGAAAACCTTCTTGGAGGTGAAAATGTTAAGAATCGAACTTAGAAAGATGAAAGAATAGTGATAATAATTATTGAATTCGGGTTGGAGAGTGTCATCCGCCGAGGCCGAAAGGCCGAGTCTTCATATCGTACTTCTGTACCCTACTGTAGAGAACTGATAATATGTTTCGTTTGTTTTCTCTACTCTTTATCCTTACTAGAAGGCAACATTGTCCAGTGGCTAAGAGTCCTGAATTTCAACTCGGTTACCCCGGGTTCAAATTTCCCTCTTGCAACTTGCCGTGTGTGTTCTCGATTGTCCCAGCCTTCACACACACTTGTGGCCAGCTGGTCTGCTTTCAGACAGTGGGCTTTCTTTGCTACGTTTTTTTAAATATCTACCTCTATATACTTCTTTGTTGCTTATGTTAGGTCATTTTGGTTGCGAAAGCTCTCACTTTCAAAACAAGGCTTCTTGCGTTTAATGAGTTTCACTTACACGCGAATATGAAATAATTTTCATATCAGTGGCTTCCCACTTAGGTTCGCCTCGAAACAGAGGTTTGGGGCAACTTAGAAATTTGTGTCGCCTCTACATATCAATTTTTTCGTCATTGCTTTTTTTTTGTTACACATAATAAAAATGGGGCGTAACAAAGTCGTAACGTCAGACCGCTCACCCTGAAGATCTTCAGAAGTTCTGTCCGTCTTAATTAGACGGATAGAATATGTTGGACGTTCCAAAACTGAGACATTCAGACGAACGTATTAACTGGGCCACACGTCAAACTTTTCATGAACTTAACTCACTAAGTTCGGTTCGTTTCATAAAAAGTTCGATGTTTGGCTCAGTTCAGTTCGTCTGAATGAGTTTGGATCGTCCAAGACGTTTTTTTTTTTTTATCACACTGGAGTTAGTGCCCTCCTCAGCGACCATTCCGTGGAGGAAAGACCAAGTTAAGTTTAATTTAATTGATATCAGATAACTTCATGAGGAATACGTCTCCCTTGTTTGTTTTCGTCTATTTAACGTGTCTATCTAATCTAAGTAACAGCATTTTTCCCATAAAATATATAACAATTATTCACCGAAGTGGAGGTGGCTAGTGGGATATTTACCGAGGCCGCGAAGCGGCGAGGTAAATACCACCAGCACTAGCCACCGACACCAAGGTGAATACTAGTTTTCGTAAATACTAAAACAGTGAGATAATTGAGCACAAAAAGGATGATTTTTAACTCATTTACTGTTGCCAACGATTACAATTTTGGCGCGCAATGAACGTGGTTGCCCATAACAAGAGAGCGGTTTATGGATCTCTTTTTCTTGTCTGGTCAGAGGAGTTGGCCAGCGAAGCTCAGAAGTGGTGTGAAGAACTCGCTTTAAATGACATACTCGAACAGGAAGACAAAAATCTGAGCACAACATAAATAAAAATATTGCTTCAAAATGGAGGTCCTCAAAGTGATTGTTCAAAAATGGTAAATGGAAGAACGTAACAGAACTAGACGTTCCAGACGAGAATACCTAAAGCGCCTGGATTGCCAATCAAACACTTTGCATAGGAATATCTAAAAGTGTGCGCTCATTGACCAGTTTTAGCGTTTTTGGTAAAACTAAGATAGCAGCGACGAGGCTATAATTGTGGGTTGAGCTTGTTTTAGCTTCTCTTCTCTTCTCCGCAAAGTTTTTCTTCAGTTACCTATACTGTGGTTTTCCCTTTTCCTAAAAAAAAAAAAAAAACATTGTCATCAAAAACTACTTTGTAAATTCCACATGAAGGTGGAAATGATCCTCGCAGTTGAATAGACAACCTATTGTAAGCGGTTAAAAAATTCAGGCTTGCCCGGAAATCGAACCCTGAGCTTTGCGATGACCAGACGCAACGCCCTAGCCATTCATCTAATCAAGCCAACTGGAGAGCAGGCCATTGTGAGTTCGAGTTACTAACAAAGATGCTGTCAAATTCTAGGTTCTTTTTAAGATTGATTAACCAAGAGAGGCCTAGATTAAGGTTCATAGACGACTTGCTGAGGGAAAAAGGGAAATGGAAAGACATGGATCACAACCGTTGGCAGGAGAGTGCCAGCGACAGGGCTTACACAAGAAATATCAAAATAAAATTTAAAACAATTATGAGGGAAGGGAGCTCAAGGAAGCCAATGAGGCTTGTGTGTAGGACCACCTTGGAAAACGCTGAACGTGTAAGTGCAAAAACGAGAAGGAAAAGGAGAGAAAAAATAATGCAAAACTAAACGAGAGAAAAAAAAGCCAAAGAAGCCAAAAACTACACACAGGTATTAGGAGAGCCAAAGTGTGTGTATACCAAGAAAAAAATTACTTAAGTTTAGAAATGAACAAAGCAGGACTAGAGGCATTCTGAATTTCAGAGCTAAGGACATTAAATATTTTGGGCCCTTGAAAACGAAGTGAAAATTTCGTTACATTTGTCCTGCAGTAGGGCAAACGGAAGGAATTCTTACTTCTAGTGTTGTATGAATGTACGTCACAGTTAAGCAAAAACATGTCATTGAAACTGTGAGTAAGAAGGCCGTTTTTATAAAGGTGCATAACTTTTACCTATTTGGAGTTTGATACTATCTTCAAATTTTAGAATTCGTAAGGTTACAGAAATAGCATTGGTATGTGCATCAAAGGAACTCCTGGAAACTATTCTAATAACCCGTTTCTGAAGATTAATCAAACGCTTAAGATTTGACTGATAAGTTGAGCCCCAAACACTCGCACAATAATGTAAATAAGGATAAACTAAACTCTAATAGAGAGTACATAAGGAGGTCTTATTAAGCCAGAAACTTGATTTGTAAAAAATGCCTACTGACTCATTTGAGACTTTTCTTGCAACGTTCTGTATTTGAGATTTCCAAGATAAGTGTTTATCAAGTAAAACTCCCAAGAACAGAGCTTCACACGATCAAGTTTAAGTATCATTAATTGAAAAATGTAAGTCAAGCTTTAGCCTGTTTTGTTTTGTTTTAAATAGAATAAACTTTGATTTTTTTTTTAATGTTAATAGAAAGCTTATTAGCCTGAAACCAGCTTGATCTTTTCTTCAATTCGTTATTCACAATTTCCATCAGTTGATTTTGGTCGTAGAAATATGTTGGTATCGTAGGCAAATCCAAGGCCTTTGACACATTACAACAATAATGGACCTAAAACCTATCCTTGAGGCACTCCACATTTGATGTATTTAGAGGAAGAATTATAGCCATTGTACTGTACAAATTGAGTTCTAAAAGAAAGATAACTTTTTAACCACTGTAATGCAACACCACGAAACCCATAAAACTCTAGTTTAGCAAGTAGGATATCATGGTTCATAGTGTCGAAGACCTTGGATAGGTCAATAATAGACCCAAAGTAACTTTTCCTTGATCATTCCCATCTGAAAGTTTATCATATAATTGAATTACCGCATAGGCAGTAGAGTGACTTTCCTAAAACCATTATTGGTTATTATTCACGAAATTGATTAAAGGATTATGAACAATCCTTTCTAGAATCTTAGAATTAGCCGGCAAAACGGAAACTGGTTTATAACTGGTAAACACAGAGAGAGAGAGGTAAAGGAACAACTCGGGCTATCTTCATATGATCGGGAAAGGTGCTAGAACTTAAAGATAAATTCGTTATGTACGTTAATGGCTGAACGATTAAATCTATTATTCCTTTAATTACGTTCATAGTAGTTTGTTCATAGCCTGCAGCAGTTCCTGCACGACGAAATTAGCACAAATTTCAATAATTTCCTGCTCAGTGGTTGCTTTAGGAACAACGAAAGAAAGAAAAGAAAGGTGAGAAGTAAGACAAGGTGGAATTGAGTTCGCTAAATTAGGTCCTATATTCGCGAAGTATGTACGGAAATGGTCCGCGATCTGAGTTGGATCAGGTATTTCCTTGTCATCAACATTAAACGTCGTTGGTAAATTACTCTTACTTTCTTTTCTTTTCTTTTTTTTTTTGGGGGGGTGGGAGGACAAAACTTAAAAAACATGTTTAAAAACTGAATCAACGAGTATTTTAACGTGGTGTATTGAGTCAGGTCGGATGTAAGCCCTTTAGGGAATAAGGCTTCCTACAGCTGCTCGCGGAAGTATAAAAAAAAAACTAATAAAA